TCAGTATCAGGAACATCTTTTCTCCAATTGCTAGCGCCTTTTTATTTTTTTTTAATATGTTCATTTTTTGGAAAGCGTAGAACTGCAAAGTCAAAGAGCAAACCACAATTACCCTGCCCAGCAACAGTCTTTCCTTCGTCGATAAGTCTACAATATGATCCATGCACATCGACCAATATACGGTGATCACCCTTTATAGATTCTTCTCCAAGTACCAACGCTTTCCGCTCTATCCGATTATACTTTGGCCAATATGGCGCGGGAGCTCTGAAAGGGCAAAGAACACAGATTAGTTTTGGCTACTTTTGATGCGAGTTCGGCGTACCCTGTAGTGCAGAAATCGGCCCATAGTTGTTGTATATACGCGGCAAAATGTTGCTCAGTTTCAAGATAGTTCTAAAATAAGACATTTGAAGTCTTAGAAACAAATATTAATGAATTGCTTCTCAGAAACTCACTTTATCGTAGAGCGATGGCCTCGCCAAAGGTTGTCCAAAAGCATATTCGATCTCATAACCATGCATAACACCCATCCATTTTGGCCACGGATTTGCTGTGGACCTTAAACAAAGCGATATAAAAAGGTTTTTTCTCATTGAGTGTAAAATCTGTGACTGTCCCTACCTCATCGTAAAGTAGTACATATAAACCGGTCCATAAACATTGTCAGCGATAATATCGGCGAACTCAATGAGGCTACAAGTGAAGAAGTAATCGCCAAGAAACCGTCCGACACCATCTCGTAGCTGCTCGCTGAAATCTTTCTATCAACAAGATATTTATCAATATTTGTCAATAAATATGCCGATTACTCCTCAGACAATTGGTAAAAAAGCAAAAATATGTTAAAGAAGTGGGATATTGGAATATAATTAGAAACTCATTCATTCTGGAGGCCTCTGTGGTCTTCTAAGCTCACCTGATAACTAGCTTCTAACAATTTACATAACATACGCACATGCTGTAGCCGTTGTCTTTTTTCCTATTACATCAACTTCAACAACAACATCACAGTAGAGTGATTTATTAGGTTGGTCCAAAAGTTTTTCTTTTTTTTCTTGCAACTTTGATATATCACAAGATGTTACAAAATGAGAACTAAGCAACACTTTGCAATATCTGATACTGCAAATCTTCTTGCTAATTATAAAGTACCAGTGCTTCACCTCTCCTTCGGAGAGGCTCGCACTGGCGCTTTGGAGAGCTAGGTTAACACCTTGAGAAAGTATTAAACTTAATCCAATAAGACATCATATGCGCATCCCTTCTGAATGTTTTTTATGTTTTGGTCTTACCTTTCGACGTTTTATTGAAGAAGAAAGATGCCGACGCCTTTTATCCCGACCGCAAAGTCCGTTCATAGCGAAACGAATTAAACCACCAACTTACCACGTTTTCACAAAAAAAAATGCTCATGTTCACTTAGTGTGCTGCAGT